GTGTTAGGGTCAGTCTGGATTGCTGCAGAGGATCAAGTTTATTGTGGCTATGAGCTATAGTACAACCCCTTTTCACTTGACTTGAGCTATCATGGCAGACATTGACCAACCTGATCTTCTATGACCAGGTGACCTGCCTAGTGGGTGAGAGAAAGGCTGTGGATGTTGTCTACCTGGACTTCAGCAAGGCCTCTGACACTGTTCCCCACAGCATCCTCCTGGAGAAACTAGCTGCTCATGGTTTGGATAGGTGCACGCTCCACTGGATAAAAAATTGGCTGAATGGCTGAGCCCAGACAGTGGTGGTGAAGGGAGTTCAATCCAGCTGGAAGCCGGTCACAAGTGGTGTCCCCTAGGGCTCAGTTTCGGGTCCAGTCTTGTTTAACATCTTTATCAATGATCTGGATGAGGGGATTGAGTGCTCCCTCAGTAAGTTTGCAGATGACACCAAGTTGGGCAGGAGTGTAGATCTGCTTGAGGGTAGGAAGGCTCTGCAGAGGGATCTGGACAGCCTGGATCTATGGGCCGAGGCCAGCTGTATGAGGTTCAACAAGGCCAAATGCCGGGTCCTGCACTTGGGTCACAGTAACCCCATGCAATGCTACAGGCTTGGGGAAGAGAGGATGGAAAGCTGCATGGAGGAAAATGACCTTGGGGTGTTCGTCGACTGCCAGCTGAACATGAGCCAGCAGTGTGCCCAGGTGGCCAAGAAGGCCAACGGCATCCTGGCTTGTATCAGGAATAGTGTGGCCAGCAGGAGCAGGGAGGTGATCGTGCCCCTGTACTCGGCACTGGTGAGGCTGCACCTGGAGTACTATGTTCAGTTTTGGGCCCCTCACTACAACTAAGACGTTAAGTTGCTGGAGCGTGTCCAGAGAAGGGCAACAAGGCTGGTGAGGGGTCTAGAGAACAAGTCTTCTGAGGAATGGCTGAGGGAACTGAGGTTGTTTAGTCTGGAAGAGGCTGAGGGGGGACCTTATTGATCTCTACAACTACCTGAAAGGAGGTTGTAGTGAGGCAGGTGTTGGTCTCTTCTCCCAACTCACTAGTGATAGGACGAGAGACAATGGCCTCAAGTTGCATCAGGGGAGGTTTAGATTGAATATTAGGAAAAATTTCATTACTGAAAGAGTGGTCAGGCATTGGAACAGGCTGCCCAGGGAGGTGGTGGAGTCACCATCCCTGGAGGTTTTCAAAAAACATGCAGATGTGGTACTTCAGGATATGGTTTAGCAGGCATGGTGGTGTTGGGTTGATGGTTGAACTTTATGATCTTAGAGGTCTTTTCCAGCCTTAACGATTGTATGATTCTATGATTCTGTGACATAGCAGAGAGGATGAGACAAGTGGCAGAACATGGGAGATGTACTGCGAACAAATGGAGCTGTAGGAATACAAAGAATGATTCTGTTCTTAAACCAGCTGAACGGTGTCTCGGAAAAACAGATTCTTTTCCTGTGTGTGCCTGTGGTGCTAAGTAAATCACTTTAATTAATCCTTTATAAGTTTTATGTTTCTTCTAGATACTTACGAGAGGTACAATAAAAAAGTCAGGAAGGACATTAATAGTTTTACCTTCGTAGCAAAGCTCTAATGCTGTGCAATAAATAATGCACAGGGATCACACATTGCACAATAACAAGAAAAAATATTGACTACTGCCTTACTAAAGTGAGCTCTATCTACTCTTTGCACTAAATGAGGCCAGACTTTTGGAAAGAATAATATGTAATGCCGTAATTAAAAACTGAATCACGATGTACATTCTTAACTAAGTTTCCACTGGTAAATTCAATTCTAAAAGTTTACTAGCTTTTAAATACATTATTTCACCATCTCACTTATAATCTCCTAGTAATTTAATGTATTTTTTCTTTGATTTATTCATATTTAAACCAACTGAACCAACACGAATACCAAGTGTTTACGTATCACTTTACTTTTTAGATTACATTGCAAATATTAACTAATTAGTTCTTTCGCAATGATCTGAAAGAGTAATATTATTTTTCTTATGAAGTTCAAGAAAATGAATTAAGTCCTAATTAAGAAGGACACATCCCAAAAGGGATTATTAGCTAGGTGTGATTTCTGTCCTAAATACATTCTCCTGCTTTCCTTGAAAAGCATTCAATAATTCACCATTTGACAATGCTGTGGGCCTCACGCTTTACAGTCGTTCTAGACAGGGAAAAAATGCAAACATGAGGATGGAAATACTTTTGAGAGCATTACAGTTTCACCATTTTCCACCAGTGAATATACTTTACATTAACAGTTTGAATTATTTGACTCCTCCCTTGGAACACCATTCAGCTTTTAATTATAGATGTAAAAAATTTTTCTCTGCAGCAATATAGATATATTTCTTTATAGAAATGGTCTCGATTAAAACCTAACAGTTACCTCACAATCCTCCTTCTTACAGTCCATTTTTTTAGTGGAGAATTCAAAATATCATTGAATTAAAAACATTTTCTGCTTTATCTTCTGAGATAAGACAGCCAATATTTCAGTATAACAGCGCACAGTCACTATCGGCACTGAGCCTGTGATACCATCACATTTACCCCACAGGAAACCTTTTCTGTTCTAGACAATCAGTCATCCAATCATTCCTGTAATTCCATATAATTCAGCTCCAAGAACCGGCCTCTTACATTCTTTCACCTTAGGCATTTTTAAAACACACAGCACTTCGTCTAACATTAATTTGTTTGGATAAAATACCAGAAGGGAATACATTCAGTAGTACTGAGTAATAGTCTTTGAAGAGAGGCTACTGTTTAAAGCAGCATTCCAAAAGCATAAATACAAGTGAACTAGCGTCAGCCACCTTGGACATCTTTATATGTCATAATGGTGTACAATGCATATACATTATGCATAATATATATGGTCATATATAAAATGACCATTTTGCCAGTCAACCAAACTGGCATGTGCAGTAGCAAAGTGCTGTCCTCTGTTTAAATATCCAATTGGGTCATGGAAACAGACTACCAATGTCACCATGGTGCCACGCTGCCGGGTAGCTAGAAGGTCTGGTGACTCAGGCAGAGGTTTTACTCTGGCCCAGCACCACACTCATGCAGTTATGCTGCTGTCAGTGTCAAAGCTGTGAAGTTGAGGGACTTGGGTTTTTTAATTCTATTTATGTCTTTTGCTTGAGTGTGCTCTACTGCTGTTACAGAGACAGGATTCCTACCAGGCTAACAAGATTTCAGGCTGACACAGTGGCAAACATTGCAAGTGGTGGCCTCTCATCACTGCTTTTTGTTCACCAGTTCCAGAGTGGGCTGCTAAAACACAAACTCCTGCTGCTGCCATTTCAGAAGCAAAGGTGTAGACTTTTAAACTGATTTATGAATTGCTTAGTTTCACAGAAAAGCCACAGAATTTTGTATCTTAAGCTCTTCACTTCAGAAAGTTGATTTGTGCTCCTAACTCATGCAGATGTGAAAATTTTCCTATCAGATTATCAGTACGATATGACATTGTTTACCATACATCTGAGACATTTTCATTTCAGATCATTTACCCCTTGAGACTGGCAAGGAGAAAAATGAATAAACTTGATAAGGTCCACTCTTTGCATACTCAAGACTGTGTGGCCATCCCAAAATCATCTATAAGATCTCTCATTTCACTTATGTGAGCTGATGAACTGAAATCCAGTACTTACATTTTTTTGTGGCAGAAAATACCTGCCCTTTTAACTTATTTCAAGTTTGCAGTATATACTGCTATTTAATACTGCAACAACAAAAGCAATATTGATATCTGGATTGAATTCTATAAAGATGAATTTAAAGTAACTATATAATATTGTCATTTGTCAGTCCCTTGAAGTAACAGGAGATGGGGAAGCAATATTAGCTTAACACATTCTACATATTCAGTGAGCATACATGAAACATACAATCTCTAAATCCACAAATGAGAAGACTGTTGAAAAAGAATACAACAAACACAAACAAAATAAATGAATAAACACATCACTTCGATTTTAAAACTGAAAGAAAAATAATATACAAGGAAAAATAAGGGAGTGGTTACTTGGCATACTAGTTTCAACTAACAGTTCAACGTAAAATAACTAAATTGTCTTGTGATTATTTTTCAAGAACTGAAAGAACATAATTCTACAATTGCTGATGCACCTGAAAGATGAACAAAGCCATCAAATAAATGGTGAAAGAAGGCTATAACCCAAATATTACAAAACAGGTTTCCACATATTGAGCTCTCAATTTGCTATTTCATACATGAAATAGGCAGATGCTGACTATTTTGCTCCTCTTTGTGCAGATTAAAACACAGCTATATATTTATTTAAAAGCTGCAGATACCTTCCTCTCTGGTGGTTTGTGCACAAGGTCAGAATGGCCAGCATGAACTCTCTAACTACATTTGTTTTATGTAGTTGTCATTTGGGGCTTCAAGAATGAGAGAATGGCTTCTTGGTAACCATGGTCCCCAAATCTGGAGAATCAATCAAGCAAGTTAACTTTGCCACATGCCTTTAGCACTCACCTAGCACATTCAACCTTGTCCCCTCTACCCCTTCCTGTCTGCAGACCCTTGCCAGTGCTCCCCCCTGAAGCGCTGCTACGGTGCGCTCATAAAGTACGATAGAGAATCACAGCATGACTTGTTTAGGAAGGGACCTTTAATTATCATCTAGTCCAACACCTCTGCCAAGGGCAGGGAGATCTTTCACTAGATGATAAGCAAAAAGATGACCTAGCTGTGTTTAAAAATTATTTCAATTACATGACTATCTAAGTTGACTTTCACTGAACATTTGAACGAATTTCTAAATCTCTCTTATAGTCTCTTAATTTCTACCTCACATTGTGTGATGGTCAATTATCTAACAAAATACTGCTATTCTCTTCATTTTGATGAAGGTGTTTCCCATCTTTTACCATTAAAAACACCAGTAAAGTAAAGCTTTATTGAAACTATTTCCAAGCACAATAAAAACATGTTCTTACTTGTTTAAGTTTCTTCAGATCTTCATCAAGTTCCAAGTTGTCCAAAATAACAGCAACAAACAAGCTGAGCAGAATCTACAAAACAATTGTAAATTATTTGTTAAAGCTTGCCTTCTTTTGAAATGGCATGGAAAATGAAGGCCCTACTAATGTAAATAGGAGTCTTGCTCTTGACATCTGTTGAACTAATATCACCTGCCACTATATGTCTGCTAGCCATTTTGCAAGTAGCAAATTTTTTTTTTAGCTTATCATACAATTATTATATGAATTTAAGAATTCTGAATTCTAGGTTTTATGACCAATTCCTCATGTGTATTTAACAATATACCCATCCAAATGTATTTCACATGAAAAGAAAATTAAATTAATCAGAAATAATAATAAATAAGAAACACAAAGCAGAATGTAAAACAGCTTGTAAAGCTAAGGTGCTTTTCAATTAAAATGTGAATTACTGGCACAGTGGCCACCTAACACTAATTTACTTTCTGGACTTGCTTAATGCTCAGAGTACCTCTGTGCAAAGTAGCTAACTCCCCTTTGAAAGAAAAGCAAGCTGCCTTATTACCTGCATGCTCTGGGAGCCACAGTATAGGAAACTCATGCTCTTTCCTTTACTATAAATTAAATAGTGTGTAGATATGCCCCTAGGAGGAAGAATGCCAGAGGAAAAAAAGTGTATATCAGATTATTATATTTTTCTTGTGTAGAGATACTGACCAGAGGCCACAGAAGCTGAAAATGTGACTGATATAGCCGAGAAGCAGACAGAACTAGGGAAGCCAGGATGCAGGCAAGGGAGGACACCACCGTTCAGCACATATCTTTAGACAACTTGCAACTTAAGGCAGTAAATTTCTATATATATAGCTTTACAGCTGTCAGTAACTGCCAAGGGTTTAGTCTCTGATGTTCAAGTCAAACATCCTCAAACATACTGAGCTCCTACAGGAAAGCACCAATTTCCTAGAGATATCAGAAGGAATCTAAGTTCTTTTCTAAAATAGTCGCAGGGCTAAAATATTTCTGTGGTCTTGGACAACCGAGTAACAACGAGAGCAGATATATCTGTCCACCACTGTTGTAAATGAAGTGTAAGTTTACCTGTCACTCAATCATACTGGAAAATTATTCCCCAGTATTATTTTTAAGTAGCTTAGTACACCAGACAAGGAGTTTGGAACTCTAACTGCATCTGAGCTGGGTGTCTGGACCTTGTTCCAGAGCAGGATTCCCTTTCCCTCCATGAACTGTAAAGGTACAGAAGACACAGGAAGGACTTTCACTCATAAGCTTATAAAATGTCAGTGTTCAGAAAAAGAAATGTTCTTTTAATAGGAAACTGGCCTTAGAAATACACAGAATTCCCTGCAGCTGTTCGAAAAGGCATATTATATATGCCACATACTTAAACAGCACCTCATACAGTTTTCAATGATCTGGCTACTACGAACAGCGGAAGTTAAGATGGCCTTCAGAATGGCAAAGCAAGACAGAATTCTGATAAAAGACATAATCCCTGGCACAAACTACTTCAATCCCTAATTGCTCATGAACAGTTTTGCTATCATTCTGTCACGATTTTACAGTATTGGTGTTTTTCTTCTTCAGATACTCTATACGGTCTATGATACTCCAGTACCTGCAGCTCAGAGCATACTGGTTAGCGAAGTACAGTTCCACACTAAAAAGTACAGGGCTCATTAAATATATCACCCCTTTATGCACAGATATGTATCAAGGCATCAAGGCTTTCATTAACTGCCTTTTCACTTTTTTTTTCAACAAGAACCAAAGATGATGTATCACAAAAGAAAAATTAAACACAAACTTGTTATTTGTTTAACTTCCTCTGCTGCCATCTCAACTAATAACAGTCCTTGCTTCCAACAGAGGTTTTTGGTTTTTGAGCTTCAACTTTTCTTTGCCTGCTAATGTGAAACCTATTCATTTCTTTCCAAGGCTTTACAGTCTGCTTTGCCAAATGCCTGCAATTATCACTTCTCAATTCTAATCCTCCCCCCTCTTCTGGCTGGTGAAAGTTGTTTCTTCATTCGACTTCACTCTTATTATTCACTGATGGCTGTTTATTCTTAGAACTCTTCCCTCTGGTTTTAGCAGCAGCCCAACGATTTTCATGCTCCTTTACTAATTCCATGTTATTTTCTTTCTTTAAGTTTCTTTTGCCTCCAGACAACTCTGCCCTACATAGTGTATCTCTTCCAGGGTCTGAGGAAGATCTTAGAACTGAAACTAACAAGTTCGTAAGGCCAGGTAATTCTCCAAAGTTGTCTTGGCAGAGTTTCTTCATCCGTGTAAAATTTGCACAGGTGAATGAGAAGAAATGTGTACACATCCGAGGCAAAGCAAGGACCGTGTACTTAAATGCAAATTCCCTGTAAAAGGACTGAGGATGGTGTACAGAAAAGTGACCTCGCTCTAGCAAAATAAGTGCTTTGAGTTAAAAAATGGAGAAGTCCCAGATGACTCTTCTAAAACATGAAACGTAAAGTAGAATACTAAAATTGCTCTTACAGCTAAGTTACTTCCCAACTAAGGTGTAAATTTTTAGCACAGAGGCCATCTGACACTAAGTCACTTTATAGACTTGCTTCATGGTCATCTAAGAGATAAAAATGGATTCCAGTTCAGACAATGTTCTTGGTGAAGAATCAGCAAAACAGCAATAAGATTCTCTAACCAGTAACTACTTTCAAATCCATGAACAAAACTCAATTCCCTTTTGCTTTCTATCCTCACTTCCCAAAGAGTTTCAAAGATCACTTCAGCATGAAAAGTTGCTTTTCCAGACCTGAAGAAATCCTCTGAGCCTTGTGAGCAAATTACAAGCCCGATATATCTGCTGATACATACATTTGTTTGGCCTATACTTTAATTTGGCTAAGCAGCTCTAAGAGCATCAAATGCACTTTGATGCCATTTATAAAGTGGTCAAGATACCAATCCATATGAGGGAACCCACTGCACCCACAATTACAGTCACATTATTCAGTCTTTAGGAGTGAAATAGGACATACTGTAAAGTAAAAGAAGTAGATGGAAGCTGACACAGAATGTATAAATACAGGTAGTACCTTACGTAAGTACACAAGTACACAACTGAGCAAAGAAAGAAAATGGAATGAAGAAAATGAAAATAGGAGTAAGTGCATCAAAAACCGCAGTGAATGCAAAATACCAAATGAGCATAAGTAGGAGTGAATTAAGGGTCCGTAAAATAGTTATTACCCTGATTGCGGTATTTTCTCTGTGTTGGTATTCAAAATACAGTACCAAGCCCTTATTGATACAAGATATCAAAAAAACTGTTTTCCTTACCATTTTCTATACAAAAATTTAATCACCTCATTTGCAATGCGCACAGAAAAGATGTTTTTTTAGATAGAATCCCCATTTTCATACATGTGCAGGAACTGCTTTGTTAGTTCTCATCCTTTTATTGCTTGATATACTATATCGTATATTTTCCATGCATTGATTTTGCATCAGGTGAAAGGAAAGGAGCAATTTCTAGTTAAGAGTTTATATCCTGAGGCTTTACACTTCTCACTTTAACTACTGCTGCAAAGAGAATGCAATGGAAGCTGAGGAGACCACTTCTACATGATAAATAAAACCACTTGCTTAACTCTGCAGTCATTAGAACCGTGGAGGCACAAGACAGATATCAATTGTATTGTTAGTTGAGCAGTGTAACTTGGATCTTATGAAGAACAACACCTCACACCAGAACAAAGGCTCACCACCTTATGCCAAATGGCTGAAGGGTAAATTCTACCACATCAAAGAACTAATCCTAAAACTCTCTATGCTGTAAATGAGCATCACAATTAGTTTTAACTGGCTGAGAAAAATAAGTAATACAACAGCTATGAGAATAATTCAAAACAAAGAAAAACACAGCACATTTGCAAGTGAAGACTTACCAGAGTAGCAAAAAGATGATACAGTATAAAATAAATAGCAACTACTGGTGCCCACATATGACCTACAGCATTCAGTGTCTGATCCATGACATCCACCCATCCTTCCTGTGTAAGAATCTGAAACATCGACATGAACGCCTGTAAGAAAAAGAATTACAAACATATTAACAATTCACAAATTATATGAATATGGTTTTACGGACACATTCCTCAAGTTGATTTCAACTTTTAAAGTCAGGTGAAATGCTATTCCAGAGCTAAAGGAGAAATAAATAGATTAACTTTTGACTGAACTGTAATCTGCAACTTGTAACGTAGTCCTAGCTCCATTAGCCCATATGAAGAGTTTTTTGGTTTCCTCCAGGGCTGACAAAATAGGAGAAATACCCTGAGCATCAGAGATCATAGTTCTGAATGTTATACTTATTGTGTTTTTTGATTATGCTTATTTTCTGTGTTACCTCTCTATAAATATACCTATAATAAAGTGTTATTATTAAACTTCACCATACATTTATGTTATCTTTATAGCAGCAGCATTCTAGGCACCCCACAGCTGAGACTAACCAACACAAGGCAAAGTCCCAGCACTTCCACTCATTTCAGCCAGTCAGATTCTTCCCCTATACATTTTGTAAATAGCATTCTTAGTGGGACTGTTCCTGTAACATTTTCAAATCCCTACAAACCAGGGGTACATGTCAAAAATAGAGAGAATAACGGAAATGTTTCAACCAATTGTCTTTGGTGATAGGAATATATGAATCCAGATAAGCCTGGAACCCAGACATCTTAGACCTTTGAAACCCCAACTTGAGCCTACAGCACAGACCAGAACCTAACTCAACATGCACAATGTCTGACGGTGACATATACAGCATACACAGACACTGAGGACTGTGCTCTGCCTCAGCCACAGAAGTTTGACTATGGTATCAAAGTGAAGTGTGGATCTTGACAGTCTTCAGTCTCTCAATGAGGACAAACTGTTGCACAAGTCTCTTTTGCTTTTGTCTGACAGGAAAAGTACTCTCTTTCCAGACAGCAAGGATCAAAGCTGGTATCTTACTGAAGTTTAATATATAACAAAAAAGTGTTAGAAACTGAAGATGTTAACAATGCAGCTTCCAGATAACAGCATTCCTCGAATTCGAAATGTTGACACAATGATAAAGACATACACATCTACGCTCAGTGTGCCTGACACCCCCAGCAACAGCAGATTAACACAATAATGCACTTAGCACAAAGAGAACAGGACTCTTGTCACACCCATGAGAAAACAGTCCCTGGAGAGCCCTTCACTTCGACTTTAAGCCCAAATGCACGCTGGAAAAGCTGAAAACATGCAGATATATAAACATGTGCTTGAAAAACAATAAAATGGGTTCTAACTAAATTTTAAAGCTGCCAGCAAAACTAATTACAGAATCACAGAATCACAGAGGTTAGGGGTTGGAAGGGACCTCTGTGGGTCATCTAGTCCAACCCTTCTGCCGAAGCAGGGTCACCTACAGCAGGCTGCACAGGACCTTGTTCAGGCAGGTCTTGAATATCTCCAGAGAAGGAGACTCCACAACCTCCCTGGGCAGCCTGTTCCAGTGCTCCGTCACCCTCAGAGGGAAGAAGTTCTTCCTCATGTTCAGACGGAACTTCCTGTGCTTCAGTTTGTGCCCATTGCCCCTTGTCCTGTCGCTGGGCACTACTGAAAAGAGCTTGGCCCCATCCTCCTGACACCCACCCTTGAGATATTTGTAAGCATTTATTGGGTCCCCTCTCAGCCTTCTCTTCTTCAGGCTGAACAAGCCCAGCTCCCTCAGCCTCTCCTCGTAGGAGAGATGTTCCAGTCCCCTCATCATCCTCGTAGCCCTCTGCTGGACTCTCTCCAGTAGCAACTGGAGGGGAGACTTCAAGTTTATGTTATTAATATTAACTACAGGCAAGTACTTTGCTTGGACTCCTTATCAAATTTGCAGAGTTTTTCAAACAAAACAATGTTTTCTCTAAGCAGTTTCTCCCAATGCAAACAGGACCCTTAAGGTTACACCCACACCCTTAAGGGACTCCACTCTAGGCTGTGATTTCTATCCTGCCACGTAGGCCAATTTACTCTAGAGCAGACCGTCCATGTCCATGCATCTAGCACTTGGTCCTCCATCTCCTCCTGGCCCTATGTGATGTCCCTATGGTGATAACACATCATTAATATTTGGTGACAAGCAGCTGGTTCCAGCTATCTGAAATAATAACAAGGATGTGGCATAGCTTGCCACATGCTGTTTCTGTGTTATGAAATCAAGAGTGTATGCTATATGCCTAAAATTTGAAAGGAGGGTCTGCAAGTGCAAAGCTTGCTGGGGTGCTGTAGCAGGGCTTGGGTAAGGCAGAGATGATGTAATCTGGCGCACCTTGTTATGTAAAGCACTGCATAAAAGGCACTGCCTTTTGGAGTGCCCAGCTGGAGAGAACTTCTTCCCCTGCTCGTGCCCAGGGACTGCCTTGGAGAGAGTTCGCTGGAAGCAGGAAGCAAGTTAACAGCTAAGCAGCATCAGTATCAGCAGGCCAGTGCTCGAGCTCAGCGTCTGACCATCTTTCACTGACCACTGATAAGGATGCTAGGACTGAAGCTTTTTCTCCTCTGTCCATTGTAACTAGCACACATTTTAAAGCAGTCAAATTGGATCATGTTGTCTCCAGATGTCCAGAGGAGGACCTGTGCACTTTGACTGTGTTAGAGGGCTCACAAATATTTAGCTGTCAAGGGCTTTGTAAAAAATGTGCCTGTTGGCTCTCTCAAAAAACCCACACCAGAATCCAGCTCAGTTTCCTATTTCTGCTATGTTCTGTGGCACTCTCTGGAGCAGACAGAAGCATAAACACAGTTAGGCTAAGACCACGGAGTTTGAGAGCTATTTTTACAGCTGCTTTTCAGAATTAAATCACTCTAATCAAATTTTCAGAGATGATTAAGCCTACAAGTCCAAATCACTCACAAGAAGTGAAGCTATGGTGTACATAGAACAGATCAGGGCATCCAAGTGAGCAATTGCACACCTTGGGGGATGATGTTAAGCATGACTTTAATTTCTACATCAGCAATATCTTGACCAAATGTAACATCCCAACCCTTCCTTTGAACATACAGATCCCACAGAGAACAAAAGGTAGCATAAACTAGAAGTAGCAGACAGAGAAAACTGCTTGCAACAACCTTTCTGTAAATCCTTTATGTCAGTTGAAATCTTTGCTGTGTCATGTGTTAGGAGAGCCCCAGGAGGGGGGCTGGAATTTGCACTGTGCCCTCCGCTTGCATGTTCCTGCCAGTAAGCTTGGCCCTAACCAGCACAGGGCTGACCTGCGGCCAGGTCCTCCCCGAGACCCCACCCCGTTGGGTTAGTGTCCCCTCACAGCCGCACACGCAGACTGCTTACGCTACCCAAAACTGCAGACTCTTACTAGTCATTCTTTTCCTTACAAAAAATTATTATAAGGGTTCTGCCAAAAAAGCCCCCAAATCCACCAGCAAGTGTTATCTAGCTCTGCAAAATACCTCATGTCTCTCCCTACGCAAGACCTGCAGAGAAGGAAAGGTCTCAGATCTTTAGCTCAGGAGAGCCCTTCAGCAGCCAGAGGAGCATGCATAAAACACGCAGCAAATTCAACCTCCTTTATAGCTGCCAGTGGTGCCTGAGGGTGAAGATGACAACTGCCCCGCCAGTGCCCCACACAGCTTCACAACCCTCCTTTGTGAGGGGCAGGCGCTGCTTCCCCACGCTCCGAGCATCTCAGGGCAGCGGTGGTCACATCTGTCTGCTGTGACACTCCGTGCCGAAACGCAAGGTGCGCACTACATTAGGTAATACACCCCACTGCTGGATTTAGAAACACCTGAGGGACTGGATAACTGAACTAGTGCAGTATCCCGTCTTCTGAATCACACTAAATTAGTATAGTTTATTGCTTTTTAAAAATACATATTTTAATTAATTCTTCAAGGTATAAACATACTTCCAGTACAATGTTGTGGACCTCTCATTAATACCGGCACTAGATTAATTTGGAAAAGACATTCTTTTAACATCATAAAAAAATAATCTTCCATCTACAACAGTTGTCCATAAAACATATAGTTATATAAAATGGCCTTTCAGTATAATTTAAACATTTTATTATAACATTAGTCCAATGTATGACAAAAAAATTAGTTTTAAGAAAATACAGCACTGCACAAAGAGCGTGTGCTTTGCACCCAGCAATCTGCTTTGAAGCAAGTTATTTTTAGTTGAAAGGTATATTTCCCACTGTTTATTTTAAAATTAATTTGAAATGCAACTAGCTGACAGAATCAACATCTGTGAAGATGAGACTTAGAGATTTATGCAAATGGTGATTTTCTGAATTAATTTGTGTTATAGAAAAGACTGTCAATTTCTTTGAGTATTTACGCCCTATTATTTAATTAGCTGTTTTGATGATGGAAGTCATACTACCTTTTTATTTATAGTGGAAGATTGGCAAAAGTTCGATGGAACACATGAGCCGAAGTGCCAATTCTGATATCGTGTCCAACTCTTACAGGGGTGGTGTCACACAAATTACGACTTACAGTTATAACATACTTGACGTGTAACTGCCACTTGTCCATAAAATATTATGGGCCAAATCCCAGTAGCCTTATTCATGGCAGTAGTCCTACAATCAGTGGGGTTAATTCCGCAAATAAAGCTAACAGGACTTAGGCCAGCACTGTGAAATGCTTGCAATCTGTTCTACCTGTGTAAACTTACCTTTTTCTCCTAACAGAGTCATGAGTGCTCAATAACACCCTGAGAGAAGAGTAGCTGTCCTGTAAACACGTGGCAGTGGCACTGAGATTGCAACTGCATTGGAGAATTAAGACTACATCATTCAGCCTTTTTAATGGATGATGCTCAGGCTGAACCAACATTTCACAACTTGAGCTCAAGGCTAGGAGTGATGTCCTGGTTTTGCTGAAGACAGGGGGATTTTTGCTGCGGAGATCAGTTGGGCCTGGCTTTCATCTTGTGTTGAGCCATTTGAAAGAAGAGCAGCATTCCCAGCTTTGTAATTTGAGACACTGAGTAGTCAACACATGGCCCCAAAACCCAAGAGAAACTGGGGCACAGAAGTCAGAGACACTAACAACATGTTTTGTTTTCCATGCAGTGAATTCTAAAATTTCTTAGCGGCCATCTTACACCAATGCCTTTGAACAGACACTGCCCCCCTCCTAGTTCCTTCTTCAGGGGTCCCAGCCACCCCCTGTTCTTCTCATGGCTCAATATGTGCGGCCCAAAAAGACGTGCAAAGATAGAGTTGGCAGACCAGTTAAGAACAGTATAGCAAACATCTATATTTTTATACTTACTATTAGAGAGAAAGCCAGTCCATTTGGGAAGTTGCAATGGCCAAAAGAAGGGTGAAATTTGTAGCCATGGCAACACTGAGCTTGTGCCTATTGACTGTTGTCAGGAAACCATGTGAAAACATGCAATTTAGAGGCATTAGTGAAAGGAGGAGGTCTGCTTGTTCCAAAACCCATACTGTGCCTTCTTGTAAAGCACTTATGGTTTCAAAATGATTTTAGCTTTTGTCTGTTTTAGCGCAGAAGGCACTTTAATGCACAAACTCAAAATTCAGCCTCTGGTGTAACCATTCTTGCTAGTGTGCTTGTCCTCTCTGTATTTGTAATTGAAAAAGTCCACAGCAACAGTCCTGGCCATTTTAGGTTTTTGCTCTTCTTTGCAAGTAAGCCCCTAAAAACTTCTTGTAGAATAATCTGCTGATGCAGATTTCACACCACCTCCTACATTATATAGTAATGCAAGCATGTCTTTGGGGTATGGCAAACCCCAAAGCACATATTTTATAACTATCTTCTTGTAAACTGATTCAGCAATCTTTCTTCAGAGCACACAACACCGGCAGGAATCCTCCAGCCTTTGCTAGGAAGACACACTCCTTTGGAGGGACACCATCACTCACACCATCAATCACAATTTTTGAGTACAAAACTTTCACTAACTCATTACCCTATTAAGAGATATTTCATTAGAAAACTACAAAAAGAAACCACATACTGTAAGGTATACTTCCGAACCACTCATAACGAGGTGAATATGTATACAAATAAACATTAACCAAAAAATAAGGAGAGACTCTTGTTTCTGGCTATCACATAAAAGGTATTAAAATATTTCAGTTCAGTACTGCTGAAACACCTTTTTATTATTGGTAACAGGTCTTCTGTTTTTCCAAAACATAATTCAGAAAACGGAAAACAAGTTTGGATATTTTCTGTTTGTAAAAAACTGTATAATTTATGGAGTAAATATTTTCTCATTTTTCAAACATGTATTTTAGAATATACATATATCTGTTAAAATTCAATATGATAGAAGTTCTTATTGAGGCCCAAATGGCCTCAGATTGAAATGCCCAAAATAATTTAAAATTTTACTAATATCTTGACGTATCTTGGGAATGTTTTCCTGCAAGTGGATCATTCTCAGTTACTTCTACTAATTTATCCACTTAAAATGCGCAGGTGGTTGTGAATCTGTCTTATTTTAATTATACTACAGTAATTCTTTCAGGACTGGTATTTCCATTTTGCATAAATAATAAAAATAATTCCAAAACTAAATTCCATGGTGATTTTAATTTTGCAGTCAGAAGTTTCTTTCAGAAGTTATACACGGGAGTTGGGCATTCAGTAAGGTGGTACTAACACTCAATTTAGAGACAGAAGCCCTACTTCATTAGAAAAGATTAAGTTTTATTATTTTTTTTTTTGCTTTCTTCATCATTTAAAAAATGAACTATACTAATTCTTAATCATCCTACTGGCTGCTTTTCCTAGCACATTTTCCAAAACAGAAAGCATGGTGTTACATTATTCCCTGTGGGTAGGTATTTTTTGTCTTACATTTGATGGCAAACCTCCCATACATCAAGTCCAGGTTGATAATTACAAATTGTGGCCAAGCCATTTTGTTTGCTAAATGCATGACCCTTGAGGCTGTCTTATTCATTGTTATTTAATTGTTCCAATCAATGCACTTTCACTAAAACAGATACATTGGATAACCAAGCTAGAATGACAGAAACAAATAAATTGTGACTGGAAACAATCCATGTACATTCAGTCTAATCCATTATTAAAGAAATGGCAGTATTCTCATTCAGAACAGTGTACTTCAATAAATACATTAGCTCCAATTTCCACTGATTTTCAATGTTCTGTTCTAAATTAATGCAATGCCCATAAATATCCATTATTTATATCCAAAAGGCAAACACTTATTTTGTCAATGCAGACAGGTTTTATAACCCTGTGTAAAACAAACATTCATGTACAAATTAAGAACAACCACTTTCATAATATGAAGATAAAAATCATGTGTAGACATGTTCTATATACATTTTGTGGCTAATATTCACAACTGTGCACGACTCCTCTTTCTGCAGCATGCTAGACTACCATAAAGCCATATGCTTTGTTGTGTCACCACAGCGTATACACAGAATTTCTCTGTGTTCCCTCAATGGCAGATATAGAACACCTAAGCCAAAGACAGACACTGAAGGACTACACGAAGACTGTTACACCCAGAAAATACAATTCTTTTATCTATGCATATGGAGATAAACTGCTCCATGGTTCTTACAAGGAAAGGAAGACTGCTAATGTAATAACAAATACGACATATCAATGACAAGAAAATAATAACAAGCAATGAGTAATCGATGCTTTTTACACTTACCCGTGGAAAGGTGGTAAATCTATCCAGTTCCTCCACAAAACAAAACATCTGTAAACTGATGGCTGACATTACGATTAAAAGGCTGGCAGTAAACACCACCAAACTCCCAAGTTTTTTTCCTGGTCCAAATATCTTATACACAAAATCCTCCAAAGCAGGAGAAATCTTTATCAGCCGAACTACTCTAAGAACCTGCAAAGAAAGAGAAAATAGAACTGTATTAGTTATTTCATTACTACTTTAATCAACCATTTTTTCACAGGATCAGAGACTTCAAGGCCAAAAATGTAGCCCAGTGAGTATCAGGTTGCCACTGCTTGTCACAGACCACACATTGTGTCTTAGGTTAAAACACAAGTCCCGGAGCCTGTCAGGTTTTGTATGTACTTATCTTCGCCTGCCTGGAGATTTGCTTCAGCTAGTAACAGCAGTTACCCAATGACTAGGCAACTGTTAACCTGCTTCGTCTTTCGCTTAGCTTTTTACGATTGTGTGGTGTAATGCTTAGTGTTACACATCTCTTTTTTTCTAAAGTATAGTAATAACAAGCTGTAATTTTGCATGGAATGAACTATCTGTGACCCTTTAACAAAATGCAGCATCGAAGTGTACAGCCAAGGGATGACAGCAGGGGCCTTGAGAGTTCAGGCACAGGAGGATTACCCAGGGCCCCCACGGCTGTGATCAACTCGCCGATCACCAACAGTCATCACAGCAATGCAGTTAGGTAAAGTGGGTTGTGGGGTAACAAAGGGAACAAAGACACAGGCAAAATACAACACTGTCCTGTGTTTTAGGAATTACAGACCTATGAAGGTTTACAGTGTGTTAGCAAACATAAGAATGGCTTCAGGCAGAGGTCAAAATATATCAGTCTACATTTAGCAACTGAGAATCTACTGCAGTGCTAGGTAAACTGCTCCAGTTTGATTATCATCACTGTTAAAAATTCATACTTATTCTAAATGGACAGGGTCCTGAACAGTCTTTGAAGTAAGCTCTGCTTTGAGCAGCAGGCTAGATGAGATGACTTTGAAAGACCACTTCCAACCTAGATTTTTCTATGATTCTGTGTTATTTGTTATATCACATTACATATTCACATACAGAGCTGCCAACTCTTCTTCCACAAGCCATTTCTCAACTTCTGTGACCCAAGACAAAATTGCTTGCATAGCGTATCATATAACCTAGCAAGTTCGGTAATGAATGTATTTTGCTTTTTCAGGCTGCATACAACAAGGGAAATTTTGGGTGGCATTTCTCAGTATCAGAGGAAACAGCACTGTGCGCCACTGAAGTATTTGACACCTCTCAGTATTAGTAGTGGTGGTTGAAGCGTGATCATGTGTGGAACTCCTGACCCATCTGCTGCTGACTCTACCTTGGAAAAGCTGCTGACAGCTCTGATCCTCCTACTTCTGCCACTCACACTGGCATGAACAGTGACATAACATCAGTATCAACAAGAGGCAGTGGCAGTCACAACAGTTGCTGGTGACAACAGACAGCAGCATATGAGGCAAATGAGATTCCGTGGTTCTTACAAAGAAAAAGAGTCTCTAGCCCAAGGTATTACCTATATTTCCACAAGAATCATATTGAAACAGAAAGGTAGGAATTACAGTGCAATTATAGGCTGACCTTATGTACAAGTCACATACAATTACTGTGCTGCTTTTGGAGAGAAAATAAGTTTGACAGAAGAATACGGTAGCTGTTTACAGAAAGACTTCACTGCCTTGCAGCTTGCTAATAATGTACGCCTTTGCATTTCACATGAAACTCATCTTCCTACCTATCTGTCAGGTATGCCGAATATACTAGTCATCTAGGCTTTACTGTCAAAGGCGAGAGAGAGGGAAGTCAACTCGAGAGAGCAACTAATTCCAAACATAGCAGACCCCTGTGTGAGATGGGACGAGCCTTCACTGTTTTCAGCAGTTAAAAAGGGTCCTAGATACCTAGGTTACACTGACAGCTTAACTTTCATAACATTAGAACAAGGTGAGACAAAGTGGTACCCGTGATCACATTACATATAATCTGAGCACATGAAACTGGTTAGCAAGGCAGTGACAGACAGCGAGACGGGTGAGATTTCCAAGTACAATGGACATGTAAACATGGTCCTTTCTTCCTCACACGATCTACTTGCAGCATAAATGCTAGCTCTGTTCCCATCAACACTAGTTTTAACACTGACCTCAGTGAGGTGAAGATTTCATGCTGGTCAGTATTCCAATTTGTGTTAGACAAACTGTACTACCTGCCTTACTTTTTTTGCCCTTCCTTTGGGGAACTTTAATTTACCTTTAAGAAACACTCTAATCTTATTGATTCTATTTGTTTTTTTCAATTATTTTCACTAAGTGACAAAGTGAATCTAGCAAAAGTACACTCTAATGAACATTCATGCATTCTATGCAACTGAATCGTAAACTGTATTACATTTAAGAGCTGCAGAGGTGCGCTATGTGGATTAAATATAAAAATACGTTAAAAAACAAATGAAAATGAAAAATACAAAAGAGAATCCACAGCTTTGTTAAAAATTATGGCTGCATCTACTAAAATTGATGATATTTATTCAGGAAATGACTCAGCAGTGTCTTCTACAAGCACAAATACAATACCATCTCTTCAGTGTAGTACAGGTCAAATTTTGTTTAAATCTTTCCCTTTTACACTGGTTTATTACAAATCTCTACAATAACATGCAAATTTTGTCATTTCTCTGCTGATTTTGTGTTCTGCAGATTATAGCCATGGAATGGTAGTCTTTCACAGAGGGCTTTGCAGAAGTGTTCTGAATGAGCATAAAGTGAATGCAAGGAAGACAGGTGGGAGAGTGGACAGTAGCCAGTGTGGTGAAGAGTGAATGATGTGTTGGCAAAAGGTAATGATAAAGACCAATGAATAATGCAGACTGAAATATATGGTAAGGAAAACCAGATAAGCCAAATGATATTTCTACTCACTATCCCGGAATGTGTCAAATAAGAATTCTGTTTTCTGTAATCTGTTTTGTTGGCTGACAAGGAACACATTTAAACTGTCGTCATTAATACCTAAAGGCCTGGAAATTTGCCTAATGCCAAAACGTATCCATGTGAAAAAGATGTTTTGACCTTGGTTGATTCGAAAATGTGTTATCTTGCTTGCCCAGAAGCTTAATTGTGGGGGAATACGGTGTGTACTTCCGTTATACACTGACAGCAAAGGTAAAGCATTTTCCAACCTTACTGTCATTTGCCTCTTAGGGGATCAGGATTGCAAAATACAACCCAAATCTTTCAGTGTAAGAGGTGTTTCTGCTTGTAAAATGTATGTCTCTCATTTATTTGGGGAAAAAAAATCACTTTCTGACATTTTCTATCATAAAAGCTAGCCCTGTTTTAAAAAAAACTCACCACCACCCCCATCACACCCCATCCCAGGAAACTAATTAAATCAATTAAAAGGAAAATACTTATTATTTTATTATCAACATCTGGCTACATTTTAATTATATTTTCAATCCTATGAGTTAGTGATGATGTTACCTATTTAGTTCAATATATTCATAATTTATGCTTAAAATTCCTACAAAAGAAATCATCAGATGTAAGCAGACTTCAACCTAAAAAATCTGGACCAACCACAAACTACGTTGCTAACTGTTGTAACTGAGAGCTCTCAGCTAGGTTTCCTGTGTGCTTTTGATACAAGAGTGCAATGGCATGCTCCTGATAGATCACCCTTTCTTGCAGGTTAGAAATACCATGTCACATTTAATAACAACATTCTACATGTTTCGACAGCATAATGAAAGCTATAACTATCTAAAGCCTTTAAATGATACCAGGTGAAAGCAAAATGGAATTTGTCATCCTGATAGCTTTCTTGACCAGGTTTGTAGAACCATTCAGAAGAATATACAGGATGGCATTTGCAGAAATCTGAAAAGGCCAGCACATTTCAAACCGCACTCGGGGAGGTTGCTCGCCCATATTGTACTCACTTGATTACAATATGTGTCACTATAGCTAATCACATTTATTGACAGGACTCTGTCCGGTGATTTGCTATTTGCCTTTATTGATTATTAATTATTCACCATATCAATCTACTGCTAAATAATGGACAGATATGAAACATTTCTTTTTTTTTTTTTTAGAAAATCACTTTCTTTAGCACCGTAGAACATAGCACATTATAATGAATCTCAGTGCTTTCTCCCACAACTGGAGGAAGCCCAAGCACTTCAAGGACGATGAATGGGGAATTGGTTGGACTGGCTGACAGAGGGAGAATCAGAAGTCTGAATTAATCAGTCTTTCTTTGTCTCTCCTTCCTGCAATTCCTCAAAGTGAAAATGTGGGAAGAGCCTCAATAAACGCACTTTTCCTCTAGATGAGGAATGGTTGGAGGGCTATAAAAACAAACACTATGGTGATTCTAGAGAAATTACCTCGGAAGACCCATCATAACTGGAGCAGAGACTCTTAGGCATGTGACTGCCAGAGATGAAGATGTGGAGAAGCAACAGCAAGTATACTGAGGCCTCAGGGAAAGAAGCCAGAAAAGCAGCAGTGAGCACTACAGGAAGGCAACGCTGTAAACAGTTGTGTGCAAGGTCAAGGCTGACTGAAGGACAGTCAATAAACTTTTTCAGAACCTACTGAACAGTGTAGCTCAGGTAAGAAATGGGAGTTACTGAAAACAGAAAGGACTTCTCAGCAAAGTTAGAAAGAATCCTATTTCTGTAAATCCACCCAATAAACATAGTTAAGAACAGATGTATTTGCTATTTTAAAAATATCATCAAAATGAGTCAATATTGTGAGAACATCTATAGATTGGAAGTAAATGAGAGCAAAATGTTGATGTGTAGTTTTTTTAATCAGTGTATAAAGTAAAATGTAAAAGTAGCTGATCATACCTGAAAATACGTAAACTGAGAGTGATAGAGGTCTGGATAAATATGAAGAGTAGTTCCAACTACAAGCAGCAATTCAAACTTGTGAAGAGATGAGCTGATGTATCCTGTGAAACCCAAACACCAGATCTTCAGGAGAGCTTCTAAATCAAACAGAACTGTAAAAGCAACCTAGACAAATACATAAAACAAGAAAGATGCATTCAGAACACTGAGTTAAATGAAAAGTTTCTACGTCATGATGTTTATGAAGGTTTTGTATGGCAAAAATAGAGATCTCCATAATATTTAACAAAAACACTCATTCCCCAAACAAAATAAACAATCAATAATAGATTTCTTCATATTGGGTCATATTCTTCCTTAAAATGTACACTTTATGAAATTTTCTGAAGTCTTAACACAGACATGTAGATTCCACAATTTGGAAAGCATGAATAAATCCATCCAGCTGACCTTTATGTACACAGATAAAGAGGGAAAAAATTATGAATGTTTTTTCAAAATGTGAAGCAATATATACGTGCTGTCTGAAGAACTTTAAGAGATCTAAGGAACAAACCAAAGCTTAAAGGTGTCTTGTCTGAAAATTGCTACTTCAATTTTCTAAAGCATCTGTAGTAATGTGACAACCAAAACAGGCAGAGAAGGGGTGATGGAATTTAAGCATCAGAACAAATTAAAAAAAGAGGAAATTCAAACTCAGTTCAAAATTGGTAAATTTGCCATATTTTAAAAGGAGATGGTGTTAAAGAAGTTGAGCAAACAGAGCAAGGTGGGAAGTTACAGGGGAAGAAATCTACCTGTAGGCACTGGATGACTGGGAGATTCTTTCAGAGATCTTTCTTGAAATACTTACACACCAAAATGCATGATGTTCTTTATTTTCTCTTTCTTCTCTCACTACTAAAAATCCTTCTGGCTAGACACACTTCTTCCTCACCCGCCACCTTAATTTACCACTGTATATCCTTTGAGATACTCTCTCTCTCTTACCAGCAGCCAGGAAACCTCATGGAAAAGATGTTTTTCCTCGACTCCGCGATTTTCCTCTCTGACCCTTTACACATTTTGGGGTTTAAACAGGCACTGAAATAACATAGGTGGCATCTATACACAACTAAGACTTTCAAAGTGCTGTGCAAACATTAACAAAATACAGCTCAAACTTCCTTTGAGTGAAAGCACTGTCAGTCTCAACATGGAAAGACTAATTGACTGTGGGCCATAAGGTTTACTGGATTTGGCAAGGGATAATAAAGATAGAGACCAAGATTTTAATCCTGAATCTGACACTGACAGTCTCTGGGATGCTGCCTTAAGCACTTACATTATTTAAACTTTCCAGTCCATCAAAAATATACTTATCAATGTGAAAGAAGGGTTTTGTGAGACAGCTAAATAAAATTTTACATATTTTATGTGTACAAGACTGTCACAAGCAAGAGTGGAGATGGAAATTAAACACTGAAGTTTATCTCCTGTGTTTATTTCCCTAGTCCACACAACTGTTTATGAGCAGGGCTACCAGCTATATTGTATGGCTTCCTCAAGGCATGCAAAATAGCTACCAGGTTTCACATGCCCTCTGAATGAATAAATCAAGGCAAAATGCTTCACAGCAGTCAAAAAAGTTTCTTTGCTTTAGGAAAGAAATACTAGTAAGAAATATTTGTGTGACTTCAGGCATACAAGTATCCATGTACACAGTGTAGGGACACGCTCATGCTCATATTTTCAAACGTATCTGGCCAGTTTTTCAGCCCTTGTTCTGGTAGCTCAAAGAGCTCAAGAAGAGCAATGAGACAAGTTTGAATAAATTATCCCTTTACATGAAAATCTCTATCTGAAACACAAGAAAAATGTTTTATCAAAAATTATAAAATGAAAGCTCACTTTTAAAGGAAAAAACACCTAATTGAGTCCTGAAAGAATAAGGGGAGCGAATTAGGAAAAATGTAACCGTGGGTAGAAAGCAGCTGGAATTCAGCTTCAGAGCAGGTGGAATAACAATGCCATTTAAATACACACTCACACACATATACTTCAGAGTACACAGGCTTCCTATTAGGACAAGACTAACAAATACGATGTTAAGTGTATTTTAATTTATTCTAAAAATGTGTGTGGGGGACCATTTGCATTTTACATGCTTGTCAAACGAATTCAAACCACTAGCACTTAAAAATGTATCAGATGGTTTGCATAACATTTGATTACATTTATACACCTGTCTTCCTGCTGACAGAGCTTGTATTTTTTTCCTTCCTTGTAATTAATTACAGGAGAAGATTCAAAATATCTGACTAGAACTTTTTGTTAGGTGTGAAATGTAATACAATTTTATAGACTTTTTTAAAACTGCAGTCACTCCTTTCATTGCTGTAGAGACAGGGGAAAGGTAAATTCACATAAGAAGCCAGAGCAGACCCACAGAGAAAAAGCAGGGGTAATGCACAAGCAGCCGCCCTCCACCAGATTGCCAGTTCTGCTTCGTGGAGGCCAAAGAGAAGCTATCAGGAACGGGCTGCTTCTCTGAGGGCTCCCTCCCATTCAGTCACCTGGAAGTTTTATGGTGTTAATGTTGCCTTCAGCAGCATTAACTTTTGCCAGCAGCCCCTTAGCATTTTTTTTTTGCAGAGGCAGAGCTTGGCATCAGCCAGTATCCACCAGTGACAGGTCCAGTTAGTTTTTCTTTGTAACTGTGGCTTACTTGAGAGGTTATCAAGCTGTTGGGAAAGACAAGAATTTTGCCGAGCAGGATCAGTGGGATTAAGGGCACAGACCTCCAGCATCTCCCTCGCTATCAGATTTGACACAGCACTCAATTTTTCCTTCAGCCAGGACAGGGCAAAGGCTACACAAAGGCAGCAGTGCAAGGGGACAGACTGCAAAAGGAACCTAGGAGGAAGTGTATAGGAGCACCCGATTTTGAACTCTGGTTTTCGGACCCTTTAAAGCAGTGCGTGTAGGAATCTCACACATCTCCAATAAGACTTCTACTCTGTAATCTCTTTTAATGGAAGACAATGTGGCAGTTGCATACAAAAACAAACATCCATCACTATTCTGTCTAGGTATTGAGCAGGTAAAGTCAACATCTTCAACAACAATTACCAAAATGAGTTTGAAGCTCTACTCTTTACAGGTTCACGGATGCTGCATTGGGGTTTGGAGTCATCCTGCTAAAAGTCTGGTTTTGCTTAACCTGCAGGGCTGATGTATACAAGTTGAAATGCTCATCAGAACCTCTCACACACTACTGGGTATACAAAATTATGCAACCAATGGGATCTGGGTTTAAAATTCACTCCTTGTTTTCTAACCTTTGCCTCCTTTTCTCTTGCATCTGTCTTCTCTTTCCAACAAAGAAAACAGTGTTTTTTTTCCTTGGTACTGGGTATCTCAGTAACTTCACTTAGATTTATCTACTGAATTCAAGTGGATGTATTTTTACAGTTCTAAGCCACTACAACACATGGTTCATAGAATGGATCGAGTGAGCTATTTTATTAGACCACATCTGCTCTTAGGACCAGCAGCTTCCAAAATGACTTCTGGAAAATGTATCAGAAAGCCAAATATATTTGCTGTAATCTGTCTGGCTGTTTCCTTTCGAAAAGGGAATCCCCACTGCTCTTGGCTGCTCAAGCAAGCTCCCTGTGAAGGGAAAGCTTTCTGCAGCCTAGCCTAATGGACAATCCAGAGCAAAAGCAGTGCATCCTGCTCCAACCAGTCTCCCTCACCAAGGACACAAATGAGCCACTGTGCAATAATCTGCATTGTTTGAGTATGCAGCCTTATCAAGGCTCTTAAAAACAACTTCTTTGTATGCCCTGTGCTGCAAAGTACAAGTTTCACAATAACTGAGTAGGAAATGACATCAGCTTATCAATTTCTAATCTCTCCCCAGATTGTTTGGTTTTTTTACTCTTCTGCTCTTCTGTATTTTATACTGCTATATTGTATTTTATACTTCCTGCTGTAAGATCCTAGGTGTTTTTTCTTGTTTGATTTTTATAGTGTCTCTAGTAAAAGCAACATAGATTAAAAAAAAACAACAAAACCAACAAATGGACATCAAAATAGTATACCTTATGACTAAACAAAATATCTTTCTCTATTCTAGGCTAATTTAACTCATATACTTAGAAAAGTAAATATGTAGAATGTAAACAAATTAGTTTTCTGACATCCTCCCCACTAATAAATCAGTAATGTAAGCTATGCAGAGACAGAAAAATATATCTTTAGAGAAAATCAGACATTGTTCTTAGGGCAGAATTATAATATACTAGTCTACATGATACACTCATCTTGAATTATTAAACCCTGGCAAGTGTTTTTGTTGCAAAAAAACCCCCAAAGCCTACACTTGAAATAGATGTTGAAGAGAATGTTTCTAGCACTGATTAATAAAAGCATAATTATACTATATATTCAGTGCCAAAATAGAAATAGCACATGCAGCGTTTCCTATTTTGAATATAAATAGAATTAATGTTATTTGGTTAAGAATCCAGGCTCTGCTTGCTGTATCCTGGGCACAAAGCAAAAATGCCTACCATGGAAACTTCTGACTTCAGGCTTTAATGCTGACTTAATTATTTGATGCCGGCCTAGGATATTGTACTGGTTTTGGGTGGGATAGAGTTCATCATAGCTTGCATGGTGCTGTTTTGCCTATCTGATTAAAACAGTGTGGATAACACAGCGATGTTTTAGCTATTGCTGAGCTGTGCTTGCACAGCATCAAGGCCTTTCCTGCTTCTCACACTGCCCTGACAGTGAGCACAGGGCCGGGACAGCTGACCCCAACTGACCAGAGGGACATCCCACACCATACGACATCATGCTCAGCAATAAAAGCTGGGGGATGAAGAATGAAGGAGGGATGATTCAAGTGATGGCGTTTTTCTTGCCAAGTAACCGTTACATGTAACATTGCTTTCCTGGAGATGGCTGATCACCTGCCTGTCGATGGGAAGTAGTGAATGAATTCCATAGGTTGCTTTGCTTGTGCACGCAGCTTTTGCTTTACCTATTAAACTGCCTTCATCTCAACCCATGAGTTGTCTTACTTCCCCCTGCTGATTCTCTCCCCACCCCACTGGAGGAGAGTGAGAGAGGAGCTGTGTGGGGCTGAGCTGCCTGCTGGGGTTAAACCATGACAGAGATTAAAATGAGTTTTCCTGTCCTCGCTTCTATCTTCAAACCTGTCCAGTGGTGTCATAACAGAATCCAGCATTTGTTGGTTTTATTCCAGTGTCTTATTCCCAGGATCATCCTCTTTAACATGCATGTCATTTTTTGAATGTGCTCAGAACTTGAGATAAAATAAAGGTAATACATTTCACAACTACTCTTGTAATTGTTGGCTGGGCCAACATTTACTCAATGTTCATACAAACTACAGCTGTCTCCAGTGGCATGAGAAACAACAGAGCATGACACAGCACCAGTGTCTCTACAATCTGCACTTTTGTGGGGGTTTAGACTCTGGTGCTACCGTTAATTTTCCTTTGCTTTCATTTTTGTCCTGGAGCTGGTGAAGTCTCAGTTTCACAGGATTTTAAGAGATCAGACATAAATTCCAAAACTAAGATAAATTAAAAAATTAGTATCAACTCAATCTCCCTCAAAAAAGGGAGATTCATAAAGCGACATAATGTTACACACTGAAGAGTTTAAAGTTGGGCACCTCAGCCTGACTCTCAAATGTATTTCGACACTTAAAACCCCAAGAGTACAAATCATGAATCTTTTTGGCTTGTGTTTCTCCTGCCATTGGCATTGCTTTGTTGCCAACACAGCAGTACCAATGGCAGAGGAATCACAAGGATTATACTGCTGTCATGTGCTCTAGACTAAGAATGTCTCTTCTGGCTCCAAAGAAGGACTGTGTAATTATCAACACCAGAGAAACTGCAGCAATCATAAAGCTAGACATGTGCACAATCCAGGCAGCCATGATCAACAGTTGCGGAGAACTGATTTCGATGCATTTCAGCACTGGTGGCTTTATATTCAGCTACAGTGACAATTCACAGTGTCCATGGAAACTGATTTCACTCGTGATTCAGGAAAAACAAGTATCTATTTGAAGCTATTCCTGTGCATTAGTACCAAAGACTTCAAATATTATTATTTTTTTAAACTGAAAAAAATAGTACTAAAAGACATGTAGGCAATGTTCTAGGATCTCTAGTGCATGCTCTACAGTAAAATCCTTGACCAGCTAATGACACAAGCAGGCTCCCTGCCAGAATGTCACTTATAAAGAAACTTTTTATTTCCACTTCACTGGTTCAGGAGCATAGCCTCCTCCTTCACCAAATTCGTAACTGAATCAATGTTTTTTTTTCAGTGTTCTCTTGAGGTTACTGAAGCCAAGCTATTTGCAACCCTATTTTGGTTATGCTTAAGGACTTTCTTGCAGCTAAGTATATGTCAAATAAAGATGATTTAGGAAGAAGTACTATATTATTTAAAGACAGTGTTCTGTCATTTTTTTAAAGTGAAATTCTTCTGGCTGTTATGCTCCTGCTAGAGAAAGATAGCAACCCAGCAGCCATGCCTTGCCTGAAGATGTTATACTTAAGCCTCAGCTCATTACCACTGACATTTTGTTTGAGGAAATTACCTTTCAAAAGGTTGTAAGATAGGGCTGTCAGCTATTGTCAGACAGAGGAACTTGAACAAGTTAGCAAAGAATTCTTGGAATGCTTAAGGGAATAAAAAAATTACATACTAAAATGACATTCACATTTTCTACTTTAGCTTATCTTGAAAAATATCTAGATAGTAATTTCAGCATACTCACCTCAGCTAGGTAAAATTCATCATATTGTCTCTTAAAATTTTCTCCTTTGTAGTAGTTACTAGCAGCAACAATCACATCTACAGCCACCATGCTTAGTATGAACATATGAAACACAGATGACCTCATCATTTTCTGAAAAAGAAAAGAAAATTTTATCACCAAAATTAGTCAAACTACATGCAATATAAAGTTTTCTTACACTGTCAAAACATTATCAGCTATAATAATACGTTATTATAAAGCTTCTTTACATGAATGTAATTTATTACTCTAAAATATGTTCTAATAAATTGCTTCAACTGCTTTACATGTGCAAGTTGGGGTTTTTTTACTTTCCATTTTTTCATTTGCTAATTGAGTACTTACCGAAGTTTTACCATTTAATATGCTATTCACTGCTTTAGTACATTTTCAAAGCATAAACTACACTTCTAACTACTCAGTTGCCCTTGGTTAATACTCCTTCATTATGATTTATTCATGCAGATCTCAATGACTTATTGTTCAGGAACAAGTAACATCAATTCTATCTTGTACACTCCTTTTGCTCAACAAAGACAAGTAATATGGGATTCACCTGATGTCAAACTATTGCCTAAAAGTACAAAACATATCTAGGTATAGTAGATATGCACATCTGGGCCAATGAACTGTGAAGTACTTCACAGAAAAGTCATGTATCTGTTCACGCAATGCTTTGTGTCACCGCTGCTGCAATCCCACAAAAGAGAAATGGAGGCACATAGCACTGGCCAGGAGTTTACACCCATGAGTTGCCAAAACAGTAGTGATAAGAGGTATGCCAGAAGTTCAAATAATTAATTTCTAGGCCCCACCAGAAAGAGCATGGACTTATGATTTACCGTGGAAACTTAACCACCACCCTCACTGGGCCAGCCACAGCTGTTCCAGTACAAGCTAGAGTCAAACAGGCAGAATGTAGTGTTACTTTACATTAAACCATCTTTGAAAGAATGGTCACTAATATCTACATTTTTTACAGTCTTCCAGAAGTAACACAGTTTATGTCTTTAATGCTTATTTGCAAACACAACATAAGTAAGTTATGCACCATCTTGGTTCCTTGTGTTTGTGTGTAAATTTGTGTTCACATTGGAAAATGCCATTTTTATTTGCTTCTGAGTTTACATGTAAAAGTGCCTGACATAATTTCAGGAAAAATAAAACTCAAAACATAGAAGAACTCTGCCTCATCTCAACTTTTTTCCTGAAGACTGTGTGCCTGTACTGGTTTATAGTCACAGAATCATGTAATTATTTAATTTGGAAGGGACCTCTTGAGATTATCTAGTCTATCCCTGCCTGCCCAAGCAGAACCAGCTACAGCAGGTATTCCAGGACTGTGTCCAGTCAGGGTTGAATATATCGACAGCTGAAGACTCCACAACCTGCTTGTGCACCCTGTTCCACTCTTTGACCACCTTCACAGTGAAAGAGTGCTTTCTTGTGTTTAGATGTTAAAAGTTAGACAATGTCCCAGTGGGAGATAGAAGTAAAATAAAACAATGGAATCTCTGAGATTAGAAGGGGCCTCTTGAGATCATCTAGTCCAAACTCTCTGCTCAAAGCAGCGTCACCTAGAGAAGGTTGTTCAGGACCACATCGGGTTAGGTTTTGAGCGTTTCCAAGGACGTAAACTCTACCACCTGCCTAAGCAACATCATCTTGTGTTTTTACAGTGAAAAAGTTTTTTCTCATGTTTAAATGAGATTTCTTGGTGTTGCCATTTGTGCCCATTGCCTCTTATCCCACCACTGAATACTACTAAGAAGAGCCTGGCTCCATGTTCTTCCTCACATCAGGTATTCTTCCACACTGACTAAGATCTCCTCCCCAGCTTTATTTTCTCCAGGCTAAACAGTTGTAGCTCTCTCAGTCTTTCCTCACTTGAAAGGTGCTCCAGCCCCTTTATCATCTTTGTGACCCTCTGCTAGACTCACTTCAGTATGTCCGCATCTTTCTTGTACCGAGGAGCCCAAAACTGGACACAACACTCCTGATGGCCTCACCAGACCTGAGTAGAGGGGGATCACCTCCCCTGGTCTGCTGGCAATGCTCTTCCTAGTTCTGCCCAGAGAGTTGTTGGTCTTCTCTGCCTCAAGAGCACATGGCTGGCTCATGTTCAGCTTGTCTACCACAGCCCCCAAGGCCTTTTCTGCTAAACTGCAGCTGGTTGGTGCCAAGTCTGTACTGGCGCATGCACTTAATTCTTCCTTGGTGTAGGACTTTGCTTTTCCCTTTCTTGAACACCATGAGGTTTCTGTGTGGTCACCTCCCTAGCTATCAAGGTCCCTCTGAGTGGCAGCACAACCATGTGGTGTATCAGCCACCCCTCCTCATGCAAGCTGGCTTCCTTCTGACCCTACCAGCATAAAATGGTTGTACGTTCCAATCTAGAAAGGGAGGCTTAGGAGACAAAGCCTGAAAGTCAGAAATTTACAGAACAAGGCTGGGTTAATAAGAAAGCCTAAAGAGCAGTGAGGTCACCAAAACAGAGTGGCTAAATGAAGTCTTGCTTTTATTTTTGATCCACAAGGCAAGCTACAAGAATATAATAATTAAAGGTAGGACTACTGGCATCAATCATGCACGAAGATGATCAGAGGGCTGGAGTACCTCTCCTACGAGGACAGACGAAGAGAGTTGGCGCTGTTCAGCCTGGAGAAGGGCTTTTCACAAGGGTGTGTAGTGATAGGACAAGGGAGAATGGCTCTAAACTGAAAGAGGGCAGATTTAGATTAGATATTAGGAAGAAATTCTTCACCATGAGGGTGGTGAAACACTGGAAAAGGTTGCCCAGAGAAGCTGTGGATGCCCCCTCCCTGGAATTGTTCAAGCACAGGTTGGATGGAGCTCTGAGCACCCTGGTCTAGTGGAAGGTGTCCCTGCTCATGGCAGAGGGGTTGGAACAAGATGATCTTCAAGGTCCCTTCCAACCCTTACCATTCTATGATTCTATGATTCTATGATTTTTGTCAGTGGTGTGATTCAAAACAGGTAGCATTGTATCTGTTACATTTCTTTTTCACACAAGTTCTAAACAGATAGTCTCTCTGCATATTTTACACTGTATTTTTAATAGTGTCAAATTTTCCTTCATAGTAATGAAGTATTCTGCCTCAATTGTGAAACGACTTGCTAAAAGAAATTAGTAAGTGAGGCTGTGAAATGTACTTTTCTCTCCCTTCACAAAAAACAACAACAGAGAAGCAAAATACAGGAAGAATAAAAATGCATAAACCGCCATGGTACACATGTACATACATGCATACTTTCTCATACAGTTTGTACCTTTGGACACTCATGAAAAGATTTTCCAGTGGTATATTTAATGCTGCAAAATAAATTACAATAAACTAAATAATACCTTAATCGCTGTATGATTCAGTAAAATTCAATAAAGCTTATTGTCAATTACTAAAGGTCGTGTTCCCACCTCAACTGAACTGAAAGGAGATGATTTAGCTAATGGACAGTATTATGCTGGCACAACACCATTCAACACCAAGATAATAAAGAAGGAGGTTCACATAGGATACAAGCTAGGCACAGGCTACATAAAGGCAGGAACAGCTGGCTGAGGCAGCAAATTAGGAGATGGCGGTGGCAGGCAATGTGAAAAGCAGCTAGTTGCTGGCAGAAAGACAGAGAGCCCATGGTGCCAGCAAGGTGGAGATATCTGAGCAAATACACATGCACAGCAAAAACACTATGCTGAGGAGACCCCAAAAAGAAACTAATTACTTTTGAATCATAGAATGGTAAGGGTTGGACAGGACCTTAAAGATCATCTAGTTCCAACCCCCTTGCCATGAGCCAGATTGGCATCTGTGTTTCTTAATATTTTCTACAGCATATCAGAATCTAGCTGTTTGCTTGACATGAATGCTACTCATGATAAGCGGCTTTCGTGTTGGCCTCTCAGAGACAGACTGCAATATCCTTAGGAGATCAATCATAGTGCTCTAGCCCACACACCTACTGTGCCCAACTTTCCCCCTAGTTTAATCTGTCTTAGTTTGTTCTTTCTGCATCACAGAATTTTAATTTGGATTTGTACTCCTGAAATGGCTCAACCACACCTCTGCTGTAATGTTTGACCATGAGAGTTCACTGTTTATTTACACTCTTCTGTATTTGGAATGAAGTCTAACAGAAAGCTGAATTTAGCCCACAGCACTTGCCCAAGCCTTAAAAACCATTTTGGATCACCGGATCAGCAGTGTGTCATTTGGATTACAGCCCTTTTCAGAGCACCCAGCCATGGAAAATTCTCTATGCAAACTTGAAACAAGAGACATAATGCCAGTTTTTGTTCTTGTTTAATTTACTGACCTTTTTAAGCCCTTGGATATCTGTCTCTTAAACTGTGTAGTAAGAAGATGAAAGAAGTGTTCCGATGTCGCTGTCAGCCAGTTGCATGATGGGAAAACTGTGTCTAATATGAAACTGGACTTAAGATTAGCTGTGTTGAAGCAGTCTCAACTGAAATGCCTGTTGCTGCAATCAATCAACTAAAACAGTGAAGAATTTCTTATATTTACTATGAATCACTTCTAATGCTGGCATCTGCCTTCAAGCAGGATAATGATTCTCGGTGTCCAGGACACTGTGAAGAACGTGGATGGCACAGTGCATTAAAAATGCAATGGCCATCCAAAATAACACATGACAAAGCACTAACGATCCAAATTCTTCCAGTGTTCAAAATGCACAAAGGAGTTGAGATTTGCTTTGTGCCTAGTTGGGAACTTCATGAAAGCAGAAAAGACTTTTGAGATACTACTCATTTATTTAACATTAGGAATGTGCGTGTTACAGGTGAGGAACTCTAAATGCAGATTTGTACATAATATTCTGGATTCATCCAAAAGCTCAACTAAGCAATGACACTGGAATTGCTGACAGGAGGAGCCTACCTGGGTCACTCAGTCTTATGGCGCATTACCATGCACGGCCTAAAACAGCCTTCTGTCACCCCAGCAGTATCAGAATGGGCTATTGGTCTACTACTACTCCTTCTACCTTCCTGCACAGAGAGGGAGGATGAATGTCATAAACTGGCCTTTGCCAGCTCACTGCTGTGGAGAAAATTCACAGCAGCTGCCACC